CAGGTCCTGTCTCCCCTGGGTCACAATCCCCAGGATCAGGCGGTCCGACAGAAGGTCCACCTGTGGGTGGGGAAACAGGAGCTTTTCTTAGTCTTCTTTTTTTTAAACAAAAAAATGGAATGATTAATATGAGAAGTTCAATCAAGAAACTAAGTAAATCAAGTAACATTTGCAAAGCAAATGCATAATGTTTACCTTCAGATATGGTCTGCTCTGTTAATTCTTACTCAAACACCATTTACATACATGTACTACTACCGGTAGTACATGGTGACAGAGCAGAGCAGACCATAAAATTGCAACATTTTGTAACCCAACACCAGTCACCATGGTGACAGACATCAACAAATCATGTCATTGGTCAGGTCATAGGTCACTGTTTGGAGAAGAAGAAGAGGAAGAAACTGAGCAAAAGCAATATGTTTTCCTCAGAATTCGATGAAGTCCTATTTTTTCTATTCAGACGCCCTTAATTGTAGTATATTTATTTGTTGAACAAACCTCGATCCACTGCTGAGCATCATTAGTGAGAGCCTTCCATCCTCCCACACCGTGTTTGGGCATGTTCCGCTGCATGTTCAGCCGGCCCCTGTGAGGCCCGTACTCCGGACCAAACTCTGAACAGGCGAAAAGCTGCTTGTCCTTGACCTTCCCCGATTCCATCCCCACAGGCTTGACCTGGGCACACCCTGCGGGGACAGATGATTGGCAGACGGGTATCTTCTTGGGGAAATTGAGTCACGAACGTTCTTACTTCAAGTGTATAACCTCTCACTCTAGGGGTGCCCGGGTGCACCAAATGGAACGCTGCTTGAAGTAGATTTGAAACCTGATTGGTAAATTGATTCCGACTCAGATGACAAAAAGTATACAATGTATGATCTGATACAGTTTTAGCCATAATTCTAAAACAATATGATTGTATTTTTAACGAGAAATTAGAGATTACAGAGTTTTGGGAAGTATGCATTCCTTTGTTTTAAAACTGTTAAAGAAGTCAATTGCTGATCTCGAGAAAAGCTCCTATGATATGTATCACCCTAATAATGTACAGTTATAGTAAGAAATTTGGGGGTGATTTTAGTCACAGTACAATCTAATGTGTGCCCACTGAACAAACTATATTGCAGAAGTCATCTTCTTTTCCCACAGAGTGATTCACATTCTGTGACAGACCAACTGTGAAGACAATGAATTATGATGAAGATATGGTGTACACATTTTGTATGGATACAATATGCTGAAAATGGGGCAGACACACAGTACAATGTAAGTGCCTGGTCAACACCAGTAAAAATCAAGAGTTATGGACAAGGGATGGTGGCTTCATGTAAACTGCATTTAATTTCAGATGCCTCACATACTATGTACTTGTAGATAAACTGTTAGATTCAAGAGGCTAAGTGCCTTTGCTCTTTTGAGAAAAGTCACAATAATCTGGAATGTAAACAAGGCAAGATGGGGCAAACTACATGTATCATGTTACTGGCAGTATATGACAGTACTCCTGTTCAGACTAGTACACACCTTTTACAATGTCAATTGAATGAAGTGGCCTAATAGTACATGATAGATGTTGAAGTGAACAAGACATAATACAATGTGTATATACATTTGTACTTACTAGTCAAATAGATGACTAAGACATTTATTAGTAAATTAAATGTATGACTTGAATGATAAAGAACTGTTTCAAAGTTTCTACATACCCATCAATTGAACCCATCAACTCCTATTAGTATCTCATAAGAAAGAAGAAAATTTAAAGCTCATACTTACTGGATGTACCACAGCCAGCTCTAGCTCCATGGTCGTGAGTAACAATCTATTAGATATCAGTCAAAACACAAGGATTAGATGGAATCAATCAAATTTACACCTAGTCTATTGCTACTAGAACAGAAAAATGCAACATGGGGTACATGTACTTCAGGGGTAACAGAAAAAAGGTAAATGAACAATCATTTGAAGCTCCTGTCTACTCTGTTAGACTGTTGAACAGCCCCTCAGAATCTACATTCCAAGAATTGTAAGCAATTAGTAATTTTCGTTGATTGGTAATTTTCAAAAACATATTGCTTCGTCTCAAACAGAAGATCCATTTTGGGGTGTGTGGTCTTATCCAACCTAAACAATGACACTGTAGTCTCTAAATTAAAATCAGAATGGTTTAACAATTTGGAAGACTTTTCTGCAAGCATAAACTTGAGATTTAAGCCAGAGTACACATCTCTAGTTTTAAAGTATACAGTATAAATCAGGAGGCATGTTAGTGTTATACTTTAGGAGGAATGTTAGTGTCATAGGAAGAATGTTAGTGTTAAGATGTTTCAATCCCAGCTGCAACAAGCTGGGATACACTATCATAACCTTAAGAAGCTTCCAGTTATTGTAACAGCTTACACAGTATTATGCAGTGTACACTCAAACCTGTGCTAGTACCCACCACTGCATATTATA